CTCGCGAAAATGTGAACTTGCGTGATAATAAATCCTTGATACAGATTTTAAATGAATGACGCCATAGCTTCCTCTCCATTTAAATATAGCTTTTGATTAGACATATACTACATATCTATATTCAATCATTTACTTTCGGCCTTAAGCTACGAAACAACAGCTTCGTCATGATATACAAATGTTTATTTTAAAAAAAAACAATACGTAATAAATAACCACGAAAGTATTCAATAACATTCGATAAACAAATTTTGGTACCAAACAAAACCAAACACCTTTATTAATGGGACTAAATTGTCTAGAATTTATGACGGCGCGAGTCCACAAGCTATACTGACGCTCAACAATATCCTTTTAAAGGCACATTATGCCTCTGAAAAACAAATAAATTTTTACTTCTTCAGAAAGGGCAAACATAAATTTGATAATATTTAAATAATGGTTTTAGTAATAAAAAGATCATTGAAACACAAAGCTATCTGATTTGTAAGTGGGGATCGTATACGTAGCTCCCAAGTATGAATCAGATTTTGATAAAAACGTTTTGATTAATTTCTGAGGCATAATGGGTCTTTAAAAGTTTTTTATATATATATACCACTTTTGTTCAAACGTTAAAATCAATGAAAATCAATTACTTCGATTGTTTTACCACGATCGTATTATGACTTAGGGGCATACATACAATTCGCTGATATTGAATTGATGAAAGAACTTACTTATAAATATGTTTTTATAATGATATCCGCGCATCTCACGACAAAAGTGTTTTGAGCGAATTGTTCAAACGTCCATATACTTCCCATATCAGCCCAATATTCACATGAAAACGTTCATGAAAATGTTCACACGTAAAATGGAAAAATAAAGCAAAAACTGCAAAACCAGCAAAAACTAAACCAACAACAAAAACAACAATAATAGCAACAACAACAAAGAATCTGGTTATTATGAATTAATAAGATATATATATATATATTACAATTGGTAAACATTTTCACAATGATAACTTCTTTTTTAATGTTTCATGTATATCTTTTTGTTCTTTTTAAATCGTTGTTATGCAAATCAATTAAATGTAATCTTCAACTGTTTTTTTTTTCAAGTTTAAAAAATCCACCACAATTCTACAAAGGGCTGGTCCATTTCAACACCAAAGCATACTCTGGAAAGAGACAAACTTTATAATGGATAAATTCTTTCAGATGAACAGATTATCTACGAAATTTTCAAAAAAGCAATATATTTGTTTATGACATCTAAAATTTTTCGATATAACATAATTGAAAGTCATTCTATGATATGGATTTCGATGCAATACTGCCTATATAAGGCTCTATTTTACAGTTTTAAGACTTTCGATGATTAGTTAATCACATATTCGTAGCATCACATAGCTAACGATAATACTATAGTCGTGCCATGATAAGACTTTCGATGGCGTCACGTGACTTTCGATAAAACTTACTTTCAATTATTCAAGACTTTCGATGATAACACGTCCGTGGCGTCATATAGCTGCAAATTAGAATGTTTTCGGTTGTAATACGTTCTTGGCATCATGTGACTTTCAATAATGATTCACTTGTGCCATTATATAATTTTCGACGATGATTTTTCTTTCTTTCTTTCTTTCTTTCTTTCTTTTAGTTTACTTAATTTGCGATTATTAAGCTAAAATATACCACTTTAGAAGAGAATATGTAAAAAAAGAAACACTTGAAAAAGAAAAACTTAGCTCACTGACGGAATGACGCGCGTAGGTGACAGCTACGGTTTCCCGCCAAAATCTGATAAATTAAGATATTTCATTTAAACATATTATTTTTATGAAAGAATATATAAAACACAAGCCTCTCAGAGAATTGTGATATAGTAGATGTCTTCCTTGGTAAGACAAGGTTACAGTGACACGTTGAACCCCATTTATCATGATAGGGATACTTTTAACGTCGTCTGCACAGAGCGCGTGCAGTATATCTTTATTCCCATTTAAATAAAAAAGGCTTAACTAAAAAAGCCAACCTTAAACCAATTATCTTGGGTCAGTTTCACTACCCATGCTTATTGACCTTACTCATTCAGGTCATAAACATTAATTTTAAAACCCAATTTAATATCCGTAGGAGCTACAGTTAACAAAGACACCATGGCCCAGGTCATCTTAGTTTCGGTAGATAAATAATTTATCGTATTAAAATCTAGAAACGTATATAGTTTCTTTATCATTAAAATATGGCTTTAGCCAACGAGCTTTAATAAGGGGCGACTGGTCAAAGGACGCATCAAAAGAAATCTAATTATATGTGTATAATATCCATTAAAGTAATAATTTTATGCCTCAAGGCGGACGTATAATCGCAAGATGTACATAAAGCGCATGCGGCCATATCTTTCGTACATTTAAGGTCGCACTCGGGGCACGCGACTGTCTGTCAAACGCACAAAAAATTGCACTACTGTAACCGCTTGGCGCGCAGTTCCATACATCTTTAATGTAAATATGACGTTAACTGTTATAAATTAAAATTAAAACGCTATATAACAGTAAAAAGGTCTAACACGGAAATTATTTTTATTAAAGTACATGTAATTAATTTTCTTTTCGTCTAAAAGCCTCTTCCTCGGTTTCTGCATCAGTTCGTTTGGTTTAAGGGAACTAGATGACTCTGAGCTTACCACTAATTTACTAGCGGCAACTGATTCTACATATGCCGACCAAGATCTGTCCGCACATCTTACCTTCTGATCGTGTTTGACACTGTAAAGACCTAGTTTATATTGAGGGATGGACATGCACTAGCAGGGTAAGCGTTTAGACAATTTTAAAATAATTTCTGATTAGCTTTGTCAACTATACATATACAGGTATACTTTGAAAGCGTCTTCCCAATTATATATTACACCAGTTATCAACAAAGAAATAAGCCTTTAAATCAATTTCATTCAAGTCATTTACATTTACTATTATCGTATTATGCCATACTTAAATACTAGATTTGAAATAAATATTCATTTTATTTTCTTTCAAAGCCATTTTGAATAAAATATATGGCTTTAAAAGTCTATAAATTTGAACGTCGTCACGCGCGTCATGTTCTAAAAATAGAAATACATTTGTACATTAAAGTCCGGTTTTCTACTAACTGTTCACAAATGTAGCTCCGATTTCTTGAAAAACAATGTAGAAAATGTTTAACATTTTTACTGAAGACAATTTTCTTCGCCCACGCGCCAAAATTCGGCAACCACATGGCCGACGCAGACGAAGAACGCGCCGGATATTATAAACATCGTTAAAACAGGTTTACTTTTTTCAAATGGCTCGCCTAAAGGCGGTCATGGTGTTACTCACCTTCAAACAATTTTTATGCGAGAGAATATAAAAAACGACATAGAATCAATTTTCCTCGGACCATCCCAAATGAAATACTTTCCCACGATAAAGTTTACAGCTGGTACTCATGCAATATGTTGATATCACGAAAGATAACAGTTAAATGATAAAGGTCTTACATAAAAAATACCCGTTTCACTTTTCCCATGAAACGCGGCCCTGTGTTCACTAAGAAAAGATCAGGATCAGGATCAAGTGATCCTGATTTTATTTTCATTGTTTAATGTTACTAAAATTATTTGTGTTTTGTTGAATTATATTGTAAATATTCAAATTGTAAAAATACGCTGATTTGCAAAGAAAACAAACTATTTTGGGATAAAATCAACAAATAACAAAACAAATACAAAAATATTTGGATCAAAATAAGGATCAATTTTAGGATCAGGATCAATATTTGGATCAACTGTACCATGCCCATATCTTGCAAAATTAACAATTAATTTATTCTAAATTTTCATATGCTTGCTATTTCAGGTCCAGTTTTATCAAATTTATAATTAGATATTTATCTATGAGGATACACAATGAAGAATATTAGGGTTTTTAAATTTGATCCTGATCTTGATCCTGATCCTTAAATCTTTGTGAACACGGGGCCGGGAGTTTACGTAGACAATTAATGTATCCATTATTGGTTATAAACTATAGGTTAACTTGACCCTGCCGTCTATTCATGGGCTAGGGGACGTAAGGGTGTACTTAACTTGAGCAGTCAGCATTCGTGTCCCGGCTCCTTTGGGCACATTTCTGTTATTTTATCACTGCTAGCACAAAATCACTGTCCTTGAAACGTTTTATATATGGACACGTGCAGGTATGAATACAGTAACGTGCGTCGCCATTAACAATTTTTTTTCCATATCTATATGTTATTCTCTTTCCGTCGTGTCGCAATTACTTCAAAGAAAATATAATTATCATTTCTCGGAATAGCTTGTTGTTATTTATAGACCTCATTAAAATTATCGAATATAAATATGAGCCGCGTCACGACAAAACCAACATAGTGCGTTTGCGACCAGCATGGATCAAGACCAGCCTGCGCATCCGCGCCGACTGATCAGGTATCCTTCTTAAGACCCCTTAATAGCCCTGTATCGTTACACACGAGCCGAACGTTTATACACGAGCCGAAGAACACTGTAGTGCGCAGAGTAAAACTTAAGTTGATAATGCCTCAGATCTCTTTATCCATACATGTTCATTTTTTGTAGAAAGTATTTATTCCGCATTCCGACCTCACGTTGACAGTTGATGTTATTAAATTGAATCATTCCGATCACCGAGCTTGGTTGTCATATGAAAACATTTAACAAACTTTAACCACTTTCCCACGTTTTGCTCAAGCGGTAGAGACACTTAATAAATGATCACCTGTCATTTATGGGTCCATCTTCCAAGGTATGTAAGATTAATGCGGTCTTTCGTGATCTCTAAACGCAGTTTTTACCTGTGCAATGGGCGGAGTTTTCCCACGTCTCGGCAGCTAAGCTCGGCACGCGACACGACTGTCACTCACGTTCCGACACGCGATTTATTTCCATAATTGTCAATTTCATTTGATGTTAAACCGCAAGTATCTACCTGTACGGCCATTCAACCAATCGCGCGACGGACGCTCGTCGTATACCTCACCGCTTCAGTAGCTCGCAAATATAAGTTATCATAAGTAAAATTATAAAACAGGTGTATCATTAAAGAAAGGATATTTTGTGAAACGAGTCTATACTTGTTACATTGCACCATCACTTAAACAAAAAGTTAAAACGAAAAACTTGTTCAGACTTGTGCTAAGGCACACGACAAAGTACGTAATATTCCTGATAAGCATTTGGCATGAGTCGCACATGTGAGTAGGGACATACCAGACTATTCGATAATAGGAGCGCAAACTAAAGGGATCTATCACTCTGATTTCTTGCTGAGCTCGGATGTTAAAACTATATCACGAAGGAATTGACTGTTTAATGTGTATATCCAAACATAGAATGGACTTAATCTTTTTATAAGAGTTTTTTTTTATTTTAAAAAACAGGATAACTGATAAAACTGGAAATATGCTTTCAGAAAAACCTAGAGGTGGTCTTTCAGAAACAAGAAAGGTAACGGTTACATTGATTTACAAAGTTGAATATAGCTGTATGGTGAAAGAGTCAAGATTTTCAAAAAGCTTAATAAAGATATTACTTATTCCAAAAACACCAACTAACAAACAGCCAAACATAAGTTTCAACAAAGACCAAATCGATCGGTAAATTTTTTGAAAAGACTGTGTCAGAAAAAGAAATGCCTAAATCTAAATCGTAAATGAATCCTTAAAAGAAACAAACTGAAACTGTTTTGATTTCATTTCAGATGACGAAGTCAACGATGGAGAAGAAGAGGAGAGCTCGTATCAACAGTAGCCTGACGGAGCTAAAGGCTATTCTGTCTGGAATGTTACCAAATAAGGTACACAACATGGGTTGATCATTTGATCATGTTGGAATATACACGTGCTGATAGTGAAGATATATCAGATCAGTTACTGGATTTCTTTTCAGATCTTAAAACACGAGTATACGTTTAAGAACAGAAACTTTCATTAAAATAATAAGACAAGTTCCATTATAAGAACAAGACAACTTCCATTATAAGAATAAGACAATTAAAACTCCCGAGACGAAACAGTCAAAGACTTAATACGTATAATGGAAAGCACCAAAACAACTTTTATCACTCATAGAACATGCTAGTGACTCGGGGAAAAAATTTGGTTTACATGGGATTTTTTTTATAATTCTACACTCCATTTTACTTAAAAGGTTCGACAACTAGGTTCCCCCGTAATAAATACGACGCAGTAAAACGTATCCTGAAATAGGTCATATGTAAGATGTGGTTTCCCCGAAATGACTTGGATGTTAAAGCTGGGTTTCCAGACAGTAATTTAACTCTAGCGATAACAGTTACCTCATTGTCATAACTGAGGCTTCATAACACAGTTGATACTTGTACATGTATGTTAACTTATACAATAGAAACTTAAGATACTCAAATAAGGAAATACTAAAACAAACACGAATTCCAAAAAATAAACAACACTATTTCATTTACATATACTGAAAACAATAACTTATTTGTTCGGTTCATGTGATCTGAAATCATATATGGTTTACCGCTTTTTGTGAAGTTTTATTAGGTTTGATGATGCAGACGACAATTTCCCCCTTTATGGTTGATAATTACTTATAAAAATACGGCATGCAGAATGTTTCCCTAATTACTTCCGCTCTACAGATATTAATGTTTTGTTTGGGCTTCTTCTTCTCCCATAATGTAAATAGATCCTGAATGACGGACAAAAGTTCCCTATACTCACTCGAATATGGGCGGGAAGCAATTTCATAATATTATTTTTATCACAATATTACAAGGAAACTTGAAAGGCTTGTCAATAATTTGAAATATTATACATCATCTAAGTGCATAATTTCCTCTCTTAAAGCTTGTGTATGATTTAAATATAGATGCAGACAATCTAATAATAGCTCTTACAAGATTCAAAACGAATTGGCAGTTTGGGCTAATTGAGGATCACTCCAAAGGAAACCGTAAGCTATACAGGTGATCTGAAACAGGCACCAGAAGCGAGTCAAACGTAGAAAATTTGCCTGAGAACTCTCTAATGGACATAATTAAGACAGTTAGATATTATATGAACAAAAGCAACTTTTAGGGGAAAGGGAAGATTAATTCATGTATTTGTTTAACATAAAGCGACTTATTCTATTAAATTGGTTGTTTTATACTTTCAGGGAGAGCGATTTGACAAAATGGAAAAAGCAGATATTCTAGAAATGACTGTGAAATGTGTTAGACAACTTCAAAAGCAACAGACAAATACAGGTATAGATATAATTAGTCAGTGCAATAAGTGCAATTGTTGATATTGTGGAATTCGCGGTCTTAATATTACCATATGTGTTATGTTTAATATTTGAAAAATTTTGAACAGTAAGAAAACAACCCTATCGATTTAGAAAATGACTCAAATATGTTCAAGAAATGATTCAAATCAAGCATTCGGTCGGTGACATTTAAAACAAAATCTTAGATAAAACCACACCAAAGACCGTATTGTAACATGCCCATATTGACGTTTGTGATATTTTGTTCTTCAATCGCACTTATTCATGAGATTTGCCTAAATAAGTATAATTGTTGTGCATTTATTCATATGAAGTTTTAATTATATTTAACGTTGAGCGCATGTAAGGTTTCATAACCGGTGATTTAAATGTCAATGTGTCAATTTTAGAACCGTAAATGTATGTGCGAGAGGAAATACTGCTAGTGCAAATGAATCTCCACAATGCAAATGAGATATAAAAAATACACTTATACATAATGAATCTACTCTGTGTTTATTTAGACACCGTTGTCGAAATATATATAACCCCATGTTCTTACAACAATAAATGTAGTAATAAACATTTACAGATTGACCTTTATGTTAAGCCTTTTATTACACGTTATGAATTCAGCATTGTTCTATCTCCCTCATTGTAAAATTATATCATGGCCATAACCCCTTTTTAAAAATTTGATGCTTGTTAAAATACACGTAAAACTGTCAGTTAGTTTATGATAATACATAAAAAACTTATATCTAGTAGCCGCCTGCATTAATCAAATTGAGAGATATGAACATATATGAACATTGTATATGCAAATCAGAATCTTAACAGCGCGTATTATGGAAACTTCTCTAAAACCGCCTACCTGTGTAATTAAATTTGTAAAAAAAGTTTAGATTTTTTTTTACGAAATTTGGTTATTAAGACATTTTTATTTCTTGTTTTTACAGGTGATTCAGTCCGGTCATCAAGCTGTCAGGTAGATGAAGACTACAGAAGTGGGATGCATACCTGTATGAGTGAAGTAATCAAGTTCATTAGCTCTAGCCAATTCTCTGACGCAGATCCTGAAGTAAAAACTAAACTACTCAATCACCTTGCGAATAAACTCAACTCTGGCACAGCACAGAAAACAAATATGAACCATGAGGCCCCGTATGCATATAACACAGACACGAGCCCGGGGAAAAACATTCACATGTCAAACTTGTCAATGATGGATACGGATAGTTTATCGATTTCAGACTTATCTAATGATTCGAATAATAACTTTCAAACAATGAACGTCAATTCCTCTGAGATTTTGACAAAACCTTATGAACAAAAATCCAAATCTCCGACGCCGATGGTTCATTCACCTGTGCTAACGTCCTTTAAACCTATTCAACCTGTGCAAGACAATGTTCAGCAACAAGGAAACGTTCCAACAGTTCCTCTTACAATTTTAGTTCCAGCCAATTTTTGTTCGGCTACATTAGGCACAACTTGTGTCATACCATTTAACTTACCAACTGCAAGCCCCCAACAGTTTTGTCAAGGGAACATCATTCAAACCGTTCCACAATCACCCCAGACTAGTTTTGCAGTTACCTCTAACTCAAGTATCTCGTTTATTCAAGCTCCGAGCTTTATACAAAGTGCACATCCGCAGACTAAAGTAGTGGAACATTCAAATATAAGCCCTCAGAACAAAGTGTACACATTTAACCCTACTGTTGTATCGGAATGTAACCGTTCATCAACTCACACTCACGCAGCATCTGAAAGACCAAAATCAGCTGCCACAGTTTCGTTCACTGCGGCACTTAATTCACCCGAACGATCTGCTACAGTGCCCTCTACCACGACACTTATTTCACCAGAACGTTCTGGTACAGGACTGTTTACTACAACACTCATTTCACCAGAACGTTCTGCTACAGGACTGTTTACTACAACACCCAATTCACCAGAACGATCTACGATACAACACGCCACGTTTACCACCGAACACACATTCACCAGAACGGTATGCTACAGGACTGTTTACGACACTCAATTCCCCAGAACGATCTAGCACAGCACCGTTTGCTACGACACTCAATTCGCCAGAGCGATTTGAAGAATCTAATAAACTTCATTTAAATTTGACAAGGAAAGCGCCAAAATTAAAAGCTAGTAACAAATTGAAGGAGGTCTCCTTGAATCATGTGACGGGAAATCCCGAGACAGTTCATGAAAACGTAAGGGGAGGTAATCAAAACTATCCTCAAAGTATTCAATCGAAGTTTGCATTCAGAAACTCGGATAATCACCCAGATAATCGCAAAGTTGAACACTTTAATCTCAGTAAGAAAACGATACATATTGAACATGGTGCATTCAGTGACATAAATAAAATCTCTGTACAACATGACAGCCGGTCGTCTGCTTTTAACCGTAACCATGGTAACATCTGTGATAATGCCCCAGACATGTGGCGCCCTTGGAACGCACCAATATGAAAAGTGCTCCCTATATTTACTGTTAAACAAAAACTGTTTTTATCGTTATTTTATTGTTATGATTTACGATTGAAATATTTAAAATGTTATTGGATTTGAAATAAAATTGATTTATGATTTGAAAAAATGCACGCGCACTTGTCTTTTCTTTCGTTTTACGCAAAGATAAATGTTTATCTTTGCTTAAAGGATTTTTTTCGGAGGCGAAATGTTGTAAATGATCAATTATAAATCATGTTTACTTAATGGTGTTTCCTTTTTATATACGTGATACATTTAAAAAAACATATTTGCCTATGATTGTTTAATTTAGATAAAAAAGCAGATCCCCCACATGTAACTTAAGGTTAGTCAGTACGCCAGTTCGCGAATAAACTTGATTTAATTTAATATGTGATAGTCAGAAATTTCTTGGCTTCAGTGCAAAAAAACACACACCACAACAACAACAACAACAAACATACTCAACAAAAAGCAAACAGGCTGAATTCATGTGTTAAACGAAACAGTTTGGCTAAATTTATGCGAAAGTACGAGATATGTTGGTGAAGTTCATTCTTAAGTTTTATAGTTCGAAACCTTTTGCTTAAATTCATGCGATAAAAGAATAATCTTGGCGAAATTCACGCAATAACACATTCTTTGCTGACTTTATTTTATAGTACGAAACCTCATTCAATAATATGAAATCTCTTGATTTAATTAATGGTATAGTATGAAACCTCCTGTTAAATTCATGTGATAGTATGAAACATCTTGCCTTAATTTGCGCGGCTGTTAGAAACCTCTTTGTTTAATTCATGTGGTAGTACGACATCTCTTGCCTTAATTCGTGCGGCTGTTAGAAACCTCTTTGTTTAATTCATGTGGTAGTACGACATCTCTTGCCTTAATTCGTATCTCTTGCCTTAATTCGTGCGGCTGTTAGAAACCTCTTTGTTTAATTCATGTGGTAGTACGACATCTCTTGCCTTAATTCGTGCGGCTGTTAGAAACCTCTTTGTTTAGTTCATGTGGTAGTACGACATCTCTTGCCTTAATTCGTGCGGCTGTTAGAAACCTCTTGAATTCATGCGATTGTATGAAACACATTTGTTGATAAATTAACTAATTAGCCAATTAACAACAATAAAAAACAAACAAACAAACAGTTAGTGTTTTATCTTATTGCTAAACTAACAAGAAGAGAAAAAAATGGATTTACACGTGTAAGCCACACTCTTACACTAAAAAGATCATATGACGCATTTTCAGCTTTAATGGTGGAGGGAGACCTCAGGTGTTCCTCCGTGACGACTATTTACCTTCCGTAACTTAGCTAGATTGTTTTCTTATATGAAATAATTCAAAGGCCTTAGTGGGATTGGAACCCATTGTGGTGAGTGGTCAATAATCAGCGACATTAACAACTCGATCAGGAATGTCCTTACATTAAACGTATACATGTTTAACAAACGCTAAAATTTCCAACCCGAAAACTCCTCGGTTCTTCTACGTTCGGTCTTTTGTTTTCCAAATCCCAAAATAAAAATTGTAATAGTCTTCCAAATAAGATTTCGGACTGACATCATATAAAGGAGTATTATGTTCCTATACAGATAATATTTTATGTCATCGCCCATATGGTTAACAGGTGCTGACTATAGCTCGTGGTAACATGAAAGTGCGAATTCACGCTCATAAACATGCGACAATTTCATCGGGACAAAGCCAGTGCTTGGTCCAGTGGTTACCGCCGTCTGACTATGGAACTGGATATCGCATGATGGTTTCGCCAATTTGGTCGATTCTTTCATGTGAAGAAGATTTTCTGCTGGCGTACGCTTCATTACTAGTTCTGCAACTTAGGTGCTCGCTCGTGCCTAAAATAATACACTGAGGTCACGTGAGGTGTTCTTTTTCTCCAATAAGAGCAAAACTCAACGTGTGATCATTATATTGGTGCTAAAATCTGAACTCCCTCTCAAAAAAACCCCACAAAAAACACAAAAAAAAACCAAACAAACAACATCAACAACAAAAACCAACCAACACAAAAAAACATCAACGACAAAAACCAACCAGCAACGTAATATCATTTAAGGCTCGGGAAAGTCTAGCTTACAGACATAATCAAAAAAGAGAGCTGATGGTTGTACTTAGTAAACCTTTCAAAAGAGACAAAACAGATAAAGATGCTATAACAATGTAATTTTTTTACATTTAAACTTTGGTAAAACAGGATTTGATGTGGCTGCATTGCATCAATACAACCTGTTAACAATGGTTAAACATTTTGATTAAGTCATTCAATAGAAACTAATTGCCAAATTTACCGAAACAAAATATAAAATGTAGATATGTTTGATAGAATAGCTATTTATTTTCGACGTACGTAAACAAATTATTGCATCATACATAATAACAATCTCTTTGAAGGCGGGCCATTTTTTTGTCAGTTTTGTCAGTTGATTGCATCACATTTCGCTTAACAGATAAGTTATTTTATCAGTATTTACCTATTGACCTTCATCTTCTGTTCGAAAGCTTAACAACTGAAACAGCAAATATAAAAAAATTAGCTTCTAAGCGTAAATACTTGAATATTTCTCAACTCAACCTGGTGCTAGGGACGAGGGCCTGATTGCATTTACTAAACCCATTAATTGAGGTGGCAAATAAACGCTGCATCCGTTGCTTGGGAAAGAAACTAATTTAAGTGGCGGCATGGCCGAGTGGTGAACGCGTTTAACGGTTTCCGCACCCTCTGTTCCTTAAAGGTCGGATGTACCCTTAAACTTAGAACACACACACACACGCACGCGCGCGCGCGCACGCACGCACGCACGCACACATAGTGGTAAACGCACGCGTCGGACTTGTAATATAAGGATGGCTATTGAACAAAAGACTTTACACCCATCGCCGTCACTTTGTGCCAGGGACTCACGTACCATAGCACACCTTCCTCTGTAGAACCACCCTCTCGGCTTTAATCAGAACATTGGCAACTGTTCTGCACGATGCAAGTTTCGCTTTTCTTTTACGCCATTCTCAGTTCTTCGAATCTTCTGCCCGATGTCCCGAGCCTTCGTCAACGTCGTGCACGTACTGATAGGAAGAAAGAAGTCCCTTTAAAGCAAAATTAGGATAAAATATATGGCCTATGCATTTTTGCAATTCCTTTAACTTTAAATTGTGATAGCTTAGAAACAATGAAGTGGGTGATATTTTTTGTTTGCAATTTGAATTATTTAAATGGAAAATGTCAGAATATTTCAACAGTTGTCAACTTTTCATGAAGAGACAAATTAGTGTTTTCCTAAATGGACATATAATTAATCTACAGGAAAACATATATTTGTTTTGAACATTTGTATATGCAATTTATGGCCGTGGTATGAAACGAACTGAGCTATTATGAATAGCGTATATCAGTTAGAGATTTTCTGCATGCTCAGAGCTTTCTTAAAGGCACGTTATGCCTCAGAAACAAATAAATATTTACTTCCTTAGAAAGGGCAAATATAATTTTTATAATGTTTAAATAATGGTTTAAGAGAATGCTGATGGTTGCTACCTGAGGAAAGTAGCGATAAATGTGAAATAATGATTGTGCCACAAAAGTAGCAAAATGTAAATGAAAGAGTATTTTTCTTCCGTACAAAATACTAATTCACTAAAACAGTAGAAGCAACAGATGAAAAAGATGAGTAACTTTGGATACTATGAAGATACACCAGAATTATAAAGTTTTTAAGAAATAAATATAAAAGTAATTCTGAGGCACAATTGGCCTTACATAGTTGTTTTCTTTTTTTAAATTTATGTTCTGTAACGTGGATTTTCATTGGATAAAGGCACTAAAATTAATTGTGTTTTATCGGTTTCATCAAGTAATAAGACTGGAGGAAATGTAATGTAAAAAATGCTCGAAATGAAGTATAACACTGATTGTAATAAGCCGAATCAAGGTTCGCGCACCGGTTATGCTACGGCCAATAAGCATTGCCTTTCACACACCACGTGATGATGGTCTTTGTAAAACATCTTGCCATGTGGACCTGTGACGAAGTTTGTTGAGCGCTCTCCTTTCTTTAGATACCATTTATGTCATATTTGGTAATACCCCATTTAAACAGATCATAGGAATTCCTATGGGTACTTATTGTGCAGCCCGATTTGTTTTGCTGCTATGAAAGATACTTTATGTCGAGTCGCACTGGAGATACACAACATGATGTTATAGTAGATTTAATAATACTTTCAGATACCTTGATGATATTTTTGATTTAGGTAATTCTTATTTCCCATGAACTACAACTTAATCAAACGAACTCTTGAAATTTTAGTACATCATTTTTGGATATTCATATTACTGCCAATAACAATTCTATTCACACGAAAATCTATGATAAAAGAGATGACTTTGATTTTTGTAAAATATGTTATCCACATTTAGACAGAGACGTACCCCACGCAACATTTTACGGGGTATATGTTTCTCAGTTAATGAGATTTGCTAGAGCTTGTAGCAACGTAAAGGATGTCAACGAGCGGAACATTTTCATTACTAGCAAGCTTCTTCAGCAGG